CCCTCGTCGCCTCTGCTGCCTGTGGGGTCGGAGCCGCCTGCCATACACTTGGGAGATCCAGGCGTGAAGATTGCAGCCGGTGGCTGCAAGTAATTATGGATAGAAGTGATCAAAGGTAAATCCAAGTCCGTAGTCAGTTGGTTTAATTACGCCTATGCCTCCGGAACATGTGACTGTTCTGGAGTCATATAAAAGGTAAAGGTTTACACGTGTCCTTGCCTAGTCCTGTATGTAAGGTGAACTGCTTTCGTCTTCCTTGCATGTACATATAAGAAGATAATTATCTTATAGTATAACTTTTAGTTGAAGGATAAAGTCTACAGTATAGGTGGCAACGTATTTCACTGCATTGTGTGGGTTTTTTTGGGGGGGCAAATGTATAATCGAGTGTATTGGGATCTTATTCTGTTTCTGGGGCAGTTCCATCACCATCTTCCCATCTACCAGTCCATCACACAGAATAACAATGCAAAAAGTCTGCTGGAGAAGCAGTCTGGATATTCTCCTGGTTGTTAATCATTAGATAAATTTAACTCTGATGATGTTTACAGTTACTGAGGTTCTCCATCTGGGCTTCTCAGGGTACATAGTGTGAATAATATTTTGTATGCTTTCTTCATGTGACTACATGTGGTATTTATGTTTCATTCACCAATTGGTTTTAAAACTTTTTCATTTGTAACTTGCACTTGCTGTATCACCTGATTCCCCAGGCATGTGCAAGTAATGTCTTGCCAGTTTCTGTTTCAGCAGTTTTGGAATAATGACAGGGAATCCTTGTTTTCAATGGCAAGATCATGTCAGTCAGTTGCAGAAATTTGTTCAGAAAATGCCCTGTAAATGTGCATAGAGGGACAGGTTTTAGGCAGCTTTCTGTATGGCACATCACTGAATAGCTCTTGTTCAGCAGTTGTCTCTCTTAGGCTCAGTCCTACCAGCAGAGGTTGTGGATTATGTTGATGGTAGCTTAGCACACTCTTTTGCCTTGCAGGGCTCCTCAGTAGAACACTTAGGATAAAATAGTTGGGAATAGTGCAATCACTCTCTCTCTCAAAAAAAACCCCAAAAACAGTGCTTTTTTTATGTAGTAGCATTTATCACCTTGATTGCTTTTCAAACATGTAAAATAAATGTATCTACAAGAATTGTCTTTAGTATTTGCCTGCCAAGGCTTTTAATGCACAGCAGAGGTGTACCTCATAATTTACAGTCCTCTTCTGTATCGTGGGCAGGAGTTTATGCTGTGTCAGTTGGTTTTAGTATTGGTGGTTACAAGCAGAACATAATTCTATTAGCTGTTTTTTGCTGAGCGTGGAATGTGTCCCATCTCCAGCTTTAATGTGCTGGTGACATCTACAACTGTTTAAGTGGAGGCACAGGAAGCTCAAAGAGATCCCCAGATACTTTATTTCATGTTAGGTGAAGAAATAGTCTTCCCTTCCTCTAATGAACCAGAGTAGCTGAATTTGGAAAAATGATTAAGCTGTTATTTAATTTACTTGAGTAGAGTAGGGTAATAGAGGGCCTGTTAATGACAGATATTAAAGTGTTACACATCCTGCTGTTCTGAGATGGTGTGTTAAAGGCCATTGGGAGGCAGACCACTAATGCTTTTTTTAATTTTTTTTGTAGAAACCAAGTTCTTGAAATGTTTGATCATGCATATAGCAACTATATGGTAAGTAGAATACTTGGGTTTGGGTGGGGTTTTTTTTAAGTTGTTATTGCTGACCTGAGAAAGAAAGTCACAGTACGTGCCATTCTAGAGAAATAGTAGGGAGGCAGAGGCAAAACCAAAGCTAAAATAAGTAAGAGCACCTGTATAGCCTTTAAAAGGCAATGAGCAAGTGTTACTTTCAGAAAGAGCAGTGCCAGGAGGGTTATGAGGGGTTTCAGAATGGTAGCTAGGGATTGCTAGCAGTGCCTCTGTTAATCTCTGCCTGATGTCTCTCAATCTAGTTTATCTCACATCAAGCTATGAACAGTTTTCATCTTCGGTGAAGTTCTGGTTTGAAATTCCTGACTCCTAAAAATACTAGGAAAAAGAAGCTCAAGAAGAACTGCCTGTAGTTCTCAGATTCTGGAGAATACAGATTGTTCTTATTTTGTAGGTAGAAGTGGTGTATAATATTTCTTCTCTTGGTAGGATGTGTTAGATGCAGTTTGATAGCTCTTTTACATACAAACACTGTAGAACAAAGTAGAAGGCAAAGGGGCTCTGTTGTCATATCTGTGTTTAGCCTCTTCTGAGTATGTGACTGTCAGATGACAGTGAGCCACGCTCGCTGGGGCTGCTTTTAACATGGCTTGTGATTTTCTGTGCAGGGGTCCTCATGTTCTGGATGTGTGAGCCATCCTGTGCTCCAGTCAGCCTTGAAACACCTTAGCTTAGTTTAAGCACACAGTTTAGTGGTGACCTGGCAGTGCTGGGTTAACAGTTGGACTTGATCTCTTCCAACCAGCATGATTCTGTATGTTTAAAGTATTACTTAGCGTGCAATGAACGTACTTGAGAAATAATTCCTTTCAAATACACTGCAAGTAATATGATTCTATAATACACTTCTGAAGAGAAACTAAATGTGAATAAGAGAAATATAAAAGCTACATTCTCACTAAGGTTACATTACCAGGTTTTTCTGCACATTTTCTGTGGCTGTTGCAGAAACCCCTCTTTTAAGTTGCCCCAGTTCCTGCAGGACAAACGACTGTCTCTTGGCAGTATCTTGCCACATGTCCCAGTTTCTGTATTCTCGTTTCACACTTTAATATGTAATACAAGGTTAAAATCTTGTGAGTTACAAGTTACAAAACTCTAGACTGGATAGAAAACCAAGCAAGAGTGTTTTCAAAGTGGGTGTAGTTTTCCTTTGTATCATTAGCTCTTGCTTTTGGCACCTTAGCAGTTTAACAAACACCAGGATTTTTGGTGATAATTTGTAACTAGCTACCTGGGATCTTGTTTCATGAAAAACACTTAAGGTGGGTTTCCTGTGGCATTCTGAAGTGGAAACTTACGTGTTTGGCAAAATCAGATAAAATGTTATATGCTGGTAGAAAGGATCTGTGCTCCTGCTGTTGGTTGTGTGATCAATTGGAAACTGGTGGGTGTCTTCTACAGCTAGAGCCAGAAAATTCCTGATGAAAGAGAAGAATGACTTCAGTGATCCTGGAGACTTTGAAGCCAAAAGGATATTTACTTGCCACGTATGCTGGAATACTAAACAAACAGAGAAATATGACTTGCTTGTTCAAAGCTTTAGAAAGATTAGAGTATCAGGTTTGCTTCTGACAGCAAAGAATTAACTATTTTTGCAGCTGGTTTTGAAATTGCCAGCTGAAAAGTTTTGCTCTTCTGTTCTATTAATAAGCATTGTAGACTTGTGAATTTAGAAGACTGAAAATTCATGTTTGCATGCAAGGGGGAAACCCTTGGGTTTTTTTTTTTAGCTGTTAACAGGAGCTTTGAGTAAAAAGCTGCTATTCTTTCAGTCCTTCAACAATATTTGTAATAATCAGATTTTTTTTTTTCTTCTTGACTGTCAGAAGGAATATCTGGAAGTGTCAATCACTTGAGGCCAGTAGGTATTTCTTGAGTTACAGCACTAGTAGCAATGTGTCTCTTTTCATTATGCAAGTGCTGTGCTGCCCTGAATTTACAGTCCTGACGTGAGGCAGTGTGATCGGCTGTCGGGGCAGAACGTGTAGAAATCCCAGAGTATCTGTTGAGCTCTGTTTGTGTAATATTTTCACAAAGTACGTTTATTGTAACGTTTGTGCCATGTTTTGTAGTTCCTGGGTCTTGCTACCTTCCTTTGAGGTTACTTGGAAGGGGAGAAGTTACAAGTTGGGAAATCACTTGACCCAGAAGCCTTTCCTGCTCTAAATAAAGGATAGGGCAACTTTCATTCTTCAAAATGCTTCTATCTTCTTATGATTTTTGCAAGACTAAAAAGTCCAGTTTCTCCATAACTTCTCTCATGTGTTTTGTCCATAATTTAAGCCTGAGAACTTAGTTTTGACATTGCTTTTGTCGTGTACTTCTTTAACCTTGTTTTTCTGAATACTTTGCACAGTTATTCAGAAACATCTGAGCCATGTTAAAATGATCTAGATTCTGGCTTTTGTAGTTGAACTTGAGGAGAACAAAGTCCTGCAAAGACCAAAACGCTTGGGAGAGTGGTAGACAGGGAAACAAGCTGTCAGTTTCAAAAGAAGTTGCTGTAGGAGCTGTTTATTTATAGAAGAATGTTCCTTCTTTTCCTCTCTATTTCATCTTTGAATATAGATTATTTTTGTACCATATATTTGGAAAGACTTTGAATGTGTTTACTGCAGTTTCAGTGCGGTCATTGAACTTTTTTATCCTGCCACATATTAGTTCCCTAATAAAAGTAAAATTGGAGAGCACAATGCAGCAGCCATTTCCCTGGTGGAATCCAAATAGAGAAGCTCCATCCAAAACTACTTGGATTTGGCTTCTAATGGAGAGGCAACTTCATGCGTGTTTGTTGAAATTAGATAGATTTAAGACTCATGTTTATTAATGACAGTGGCCACTCTGAAAATTTTTCGGCAAACCTCTACTATTGCACAATGCTGAATTTAATAGGTCTCTGTTTCATTTGATATTCCATTTTGGCGGTAGTTTAAACCTGCAAAACTCACACTGAGTTGAGAGGGAAACTCGACATGCGGCGCAGCTCCTGCTATTTCTCTCTGACCAACAAGAAATACCATTATAATACAGCTTGCTTTGCAGAGTGCTTTTCCTACAAATGTGGAAAGTAACCATTGCTTTTCCAAACCAATCTAGCAACATCTCTCTCATTAAAAAATAAAAATAAGTTGTATTTGTAAAAGGCTCAGTGTTGGTAAGCTCTTTTTTGTGAATGTTATTATTTGTTATACCTTGTGTGGTGATTTATCAATCTATTATTTTACCTTCTGATTTCTCTTATCTGTCACTGATTGTGGTTCTGAGCCAATTAGATTTATGTGGAAATGTTTCCAAAGTGACTCTTAGGTCTAGTTCCCACTAATGTCTTAATGAAATATCAGGCACTTGTTAGAGCCTGCATTAGTTTTAGGTTTTAAACTCGTCTTTGAGATGGTAACTTCTGCCTAAGAAACATTACAGGAAGTGTCCCATGCACCTTGTTGCAGAAAGTACACAATTTACTATTCAAGGTAACTGGTGAGGGCTATTTTTGGATGTATCATTAGTTGCTCCAGACACCTGTGGGAGGTTAGAGAGAAAGAGGTCCTGTTGCTCTGTTCAGTTTAATAACTTCCAGCCACCCAGCTGGAATGCAGATCAGCAGCAAAGGACCTGGAGGTCCTGGTGGGACACCAAGTTGACCATGAGCCAGCAACATTCCCATGTGGCAAGGCAACTGGTGGTGTCCTAGGCTGCTTTAGACAAAATGTTGCCAGCAGGTTGAGGGAGGTGATCCTTCTCTACTTGGTTCTGGTGAGGCCACGTCAGAAGTGCTGATATACCTGAAGGGACACTGTAAAGAAAATGCAGCCAGGCTCTTTTTGGTGGTGCCTGGTGACAGGACCAAAGATGACAGACACAAACTGAAACATGGCAGATTCCCTCTGAACATCAGGAAGCACTTTTTTTACTCTAAAGGTGAGTGAGGGCTGGCAGGGGTTGCCCAAAGAAGTTGTGCTGTCTCCTTGGAGATGCTCTGAAGTCATCAGGGTCCAGTGCTGGACGTCTGGGTCCAGGTGGCCCTGCCTGAGCAGAGGGGCTGGACGAGATGACCTCTAGAAGTCCCTTCCCACCTCAGCGATTCTGTGACCGCCGTGCAGTTTTTGTGGGGCACGGTGCAGTCCGGCTTCCCTTCCGCAGCCCCCGCAGAGGAGCCGCGCGGGCGGCGGCTGGCGCTGACTGCCTGGCTTTGTCCCCACAGGAGCACGCCTATCCTGCCGACGAGCTCATGCCTCTGACGTGCCGCGGACGGGTGCGGGGCCAGGAGCCGAGCCGAGGGGATGTGGATGATGCCTTGGGAAAGTTAGTGTCTGCCGTGGTTACCCTCTCCTGCAAACACCCAGCAAGCCAAGTACCGTCTGTAGCCCGTAAAGCTTGTGGGTTCAGTTGACGTGTCTAGAAACTTGTGTTTGTAAGAAGTACAGTTATTATTTCTTCCCATGATGTTAACTGATGTGAAATTGTGCCTTAATCAGCAAAAGAGAATAGACTAGTAAATGAAATCCAAGATTTCTTTTTCTTTTTTTAATCAATCTCCAACTATTTGCCATAGGAAAGCCTTCCAAATGTGACCGGACATTTATGGTACTAGTAAATCTGACTGCTCAGTAGAGTTTATAAGGGTTAAATATCAGCTGCACAGAACAGTAAACTGTTACCCATTATGCATGCCTTGAAAGTGGTCTTTAAAATACTGTTTTTAAGTGGAAAGCTCCCTGAAAACGGTCAAATGACCAGCATGTGTGTGTGATAGCCTGAAGCCTTTGCCAAAGTATAAAACATTATTTCAGACATTGAAATTTGTCATATTTTTTTCTTTTCAAATAACTTGTAATACAAAGTACTGATCCCTTGGCCAGCAAAATGTAGATTTTTCTCCATATTAAATTGAACAATCAAGGACAAAGCTGTATTAGTTTAAATGTGTCAGTAATGATTGCTTTGGTGCGTGTATGTGTACAGTTTATGGACCAAATACTTAATAACAAATAAAATAACAATTTTTAAATTGGTATTGCTACTTAGTGTCCCTAAGCAGAATAGTATTAATCAAAGTTGAAGTCCTTGTCTTGGATACCACAGAGAGAATTAGAAGTAGCATTGAGCATGTTGTTCTGGTTACTTTTTGTTCTGTACAGAAGTTCCTTACTCCAGAGGTTGCTACAGAAGCCTGGGGAGGTATTGAGAGATACCACTGAGTCCTGTCTCAGTGTGGCTGCCCACCAGCCTGCTCTGTAGCTGTGTGCTGCATCAGCTCCCTCCCCTCCCTTTTGTATGGAAAGAGTTGTGTGTGTTGTGCATAGCCACTAGTTAATCTCATTCTCTTGCAGAATGACACTCTCAGAATGCCCTTGTATCTTTACAAATCAATGAAAATTATAATAGATGACGACTGCATTAGAATTTTAATTATACTCCCTGCAGAGTCACATGTTGCTGACAGGATCTAGGACATCAGGCTCTTGCTTAAATTCTTGATGCTTGTTCTTCAATAGGCAGTTGTAACTGTTAGCAAAGTTTTCAATTTTAATACCATCATATTCTGCTAATTCTGCTCTATGTGTGGTGTTTGTATCTTAATGCAAGAGCATCAGGTTAGGCTAAAGGTCTTCAGCCTGGTATGCACTAGAGCCAACCTAGAGAAGGATACATGAGCAAGATGAGCCTTATTGTGATACTCCTGTTTCATACTGTGAGTCTGACTTGATGTTCTCTTTTTATGGAATCAGTAGTTCTTTATTTGGAGCCTGTCACTTGCTAGTGCTGGGTGGCGTCAGGTGAAACTCACTGTGCGAAACAGCAAATAGCAGATTCTCCTCCATTTTATTCACAGGATTTTCAAATCTTTGTGTAATGACACTTAAGCTTTGCTTTTCCAGGCTCAAGAGCTGTAGTCTGGTCACTTGTTCCTGGTACTGAAGCTGCTATGTCACTTCAGCCCCCCCTTACTGCCCTTCCCTGTACCTCTTCCTGTTCTGTTAGAGCCCACGTAGGAGTTTTGTAACAACCTCATTTCCCGTAGTCACTAACCACTAATTTTAACACTGAGTTTGATTGCACCAAAGCACAGCTTTTTTTGAAGTACCTAACTGAAGAAGTTTCTAGGAAGAGAAATTTATCTTGGGAAGGTTTTTGACCCTCCTGAATCTTTTTATTATTACACTTAATAAGGCAACATGTTTTGTTTTCTAAAGAAGAAATCAAAAAAGGTTTGGAAAAGACTTGGAATGATTCTGCTGGGTTTCTTAGTATGTCTGACTGGAGATGAGAAATAAACATTTAATTTGCTTACAAGAACTTTGAAAGCTTTGCAGTAAATAAATGTATCTTTATAATTATAGCTTGTTTCAGTCAGCTCCTATTCTGGTCACTAACAAAGGGAAGGGACTTAGTAGGGTGTTTTGGTATTAAATGTATTGTATACAGCTAATTTTTTAGCACCTAGTGATCTTTCAGAATTTAGCTTATTCCACAGTTTTGGTTACTATTGAAAATTATTTAATTTCAACACATACAGGTCTGTAGTGAATATGTTCTAAATTTTGTTTTGTAGATTTTCACTGACCTTGATTGATACCTTGGACACTCTTGTTGTAAGTTTAATCTATTGATAAACTTTGATAAAACAAAAAGATTGTCTCCTGATGCTCAGACTTATTTTAGATTTCTATTTTGTTAAATCATGCATTTTAAAATTCCTACTTTTTCTTCATATTTGATCTCTGACTATCTGCCTGAAGTGTCTATTGCTTGTAAGAACTTGCAGGTACTGCTGTGGTGTTGTTTGGAGTTTGTTGCAAGGAGAAAACTAGAGTAGTTCCTTCACATTTCATTGACACTTATCCTCTAACTTAACAAAAAAGTGAGTTTGCTTCCTATTACAGTTAAAAGCAACATGCTGACTTATGGGTGCACACCTCTTAATGCCTACTGGATTACCTATTTTTTTAATTGTATGTACATGTTTAATGGGTGAAATGGCATGCACTTAAATATATGTTAAAAGTATATTTAAATATACATAAAAAAAAAAAATGTAACACTGGATGTGTCTGCCAGGACACATTGCCAAACTTCTTATTTTCATTCTCTTATTAAAAGATTCCAATAATTAATAAACTACTTTTAATTAGATTTCAATCCCTTTGACATAATTTGTCCTTGTAAGGTAGAGTCTGGAAATGGGGAATTTTTGGCCATTCACATCTGCAGGTAAATCTGAAAGATTTTTGAAAATCCTTACTGCACTGATTTGGTGTGTGATTCCTGTATCACTCTTTTCTGTCAGCTGCTCCCTTTATTACAATGTGCTGTGAGATGACACTTGGCTCTTTTGAATTGGGACCACAAATATTGAAAGTATGGAGTCTTGAGCTCCCAGACAATCTAGCAGAGGCACTCAAGTGGATTATTGTGGTTTATTTATTGTTTTGTTGACTTAGAGCAAGATTAAAATTTGTGGAATTTAAAGGCACTTATAATAATGAATTGGATAAGTCTCAAAAATTCTTAAAGATTGATTGAACTACAAATCAGTGTGAAAGGAAAGGCTGGAACATCTCTCGTATGAAGAAGGGCTGAGAGAGTTGGGGTTGTTCAGCCTGGAGTAGAGAAGGCTCTGGGGAGATGTTATTGCAGCCTTCCAGTACTTCAGTGGATCCTATAAGAAGGATGGGGACAGACTTTTTAACAGGGCCTATTGCAAGAGGACAGGAGGTGATGGTTTTAGTCTATAAGAGGGAAGATTTAGACTAGATGGGAGGGAGAAATTTTTTACACTGAGGGTGGTGAAATACTGGCTGAGATACCCAGAGAGGTGGTTGATGCCCCATCCCTGGAAACATTCCAGGTAAGGTTGGATGGGGTTCTGAGCATCCTGCTCTAGTTGCAGATGTCCCTGCTCACTGCAGGGGGGTTGGACTAGATGACCTTGAAAGTTCCTTTCTAACCCAAACCGTTCTATGACTGAAATGCCTGAGCTGTTCTTCAGGCACAAGGACAAAACAGCTGGGAGGAGGAGGGGTGCCAGGGCAAGTCACTGAACTCAGGATGCTGCCCCTTAGCCCGTGGGTGGGAGGCTTCTGTGATACCTGGGCACCAGAGCAGGCCAGTCCTTGCCCGCAGAGCCTGCAGAGTCCTGTCGCATTCCAGTCGTGGCGTGCGAGCAGGGCAAGGAACAAACAGAGAAATCCCCGGGTGACAGTTCAGGTGTGTTCTCAGTGACTTTGTTCATGCATACAACTTTTATCCTCTTTCACATATCTCATGAGAGAAAGGATAATACTAATGTCTGTTGGCACTGTACCAGAGTAGGCTCCTGCAGGACCAGAACACCAGTCTAAGGCTTGTTAAATGCTTTTTTCCTTTAATTCATTGCACTTGTTCTACACCTGGGCATGACTGTTTCAGCTGTATTGGAACCTAAACACTTGATTATGTTTTTATTGCAGGTGTTAAATAAAACCAAAGAGTTTGAGGAGGCTGTAAAAAAAGTAATAAAGGATGTTAATTTAGATAACGACATAGTTGTATCTGTCTTTGAAACCAACATAAGAGTCCTTGGGTGAGTACCTTTGATGTTTTCAAAACTCCAGAAATGGGGTGGTTCAGCTAAGTGTCCTTATGATGTAACTTTTTGTGCTCTTTCACCTGATTTTAAAGGGTTGTGCCTTTGTCAGTTAGCATAGCTCGACACCTGCCCTGAGCAAGGTTTTAAAATGCCAGGCAGGCATGGATGCAGAGCTGCTGAATCAAGCCGACCCCCTCGAACTGCTGCGGCTGTAGCTTTTGTTGATTAAAAGAAATGCATGCTGAGGTAGCAGTGTTTATTGTAATGGAAACAGTCTTACAAATTACACTGTTCAATACTTGATTTAACAGATAGAACATTTCAATACTTAGGGTAATAGGTTATTTCAGGTTGGAGGGAACCTCTGAAGGTCTCTAATCCAACTTGCTGCTCAGCACAGGAGCAGAGCAGGTTAGTTTTACCCTGCTGTTGAGAATCTTCTTGAGGAGGAAAGGCTGAGAGCCCTGGCGCTGTTTAGCCTGGAGAAGAAAATACTGAGAGGGGATCTTCTAAATATCTCTCAATATCTAAAGGGTGGGGGTCAAGATGATGGGGCCAGACTCTTCAGTGATGGCCAGTGACAGGACAAGGGGCAACAGGCACAAACTGAAACCCAGGAGGTTCCATCTGAACAGAAGGAAGAAAATTCCTTCCTGTGAGGGTGCCAGAGCCCTGGACCAGGCTGCCCAGAGAGGTTGTGGAGTCTCCTTCTCTGGACAGATTCCAAACATGCCTGGATGTGATCCTGGGCAACCTTCTCTAGATGGTCCTGCTTTAGCAGGGGATTGGACAAGGTCCCTTCCAACCCCTACCATTCCATAATTCATCCTTCTATCCAATTTTAGACGTGGTGTTGGGTTTTATTCTTGACTATGTTGATAAATCAATGATTCCCCTACAGTTTAGGTTTGAGTCCTAAACATTAAGAATTACTTCCAGAACACTGGCAGCAAATCTTGATTATAAACTGGCAGTTGTCTACTCAGCATTTCTGAAGATTAAGGCCATGTGACTATGGCAAAATTACGGATGTAGTCATCAAAGTTGTAGACATTTTTGCATTGCCGTTCAGATGACTGTACCTTTTCAGATGTGGATTGTTTCTCTTGTGTTTAGAGGTCTCCTAGGTGGGCATTCAGTGGCAATTATGCTGAAAGAAAAAGGTGAATATATGCAGTGGTACAACGGTGAACTTCTGCACATGGCAAAGGAACTAGGCTACAAGCTTTTACCTGCTTTTAACACCACTAGTGGTCTCCCTTACCCAAGAGTAAGTCCTCTGGTTTCTGCAATTTAGGATTACTGCTGTAAGCAAAACTCTTGTTGTGTTGTTTCTGTCTCTTTCTAAAATCAGTTGTATATTTAGCAAGTGTACAGAAAATCAAAAGCTGATTAATTTGCTCATTTGTAATACGTGCTATCTAGTGTTTTGTATATACAGTTTTAGGCTCTCTGAATCCCTACCTTTTCAACTCTAAAAATTCTAATACACATTGTTGTGAGTGAATAGTAACAGCAGAAATCTTGTTTAATCACTCTGCTGATTTCTTGCTCCTTGCACCACCAAGTAGCTGAGAAGAGTAATTTTCATTTTCGTACATACATGTCACTAAGTGAAAGAGCAACTTGCCAGCACTTGCTTGTGAATTAACACGAAACTGATTAATCTTCATGGTCTACATCCATATTTTTAAGAGGGCAGAGGTAGTTGTAATCTAAAAATATTCACTTAACATAAAAACTCTCATCATATGTAAACAGTGTGGTACATACGCCTTGAAATGACAGAAAACTCCTTCCCGTGTATGTCATCCATTAAGCCTGAGAGATGTGGCTTTGATTGGAAGCTTTGCCATAAAATAAAAAAAATTAGGCTCAGTAAATCAACAATTTTTCTGAAAATTTCTAATTCAAGATGTTCAGGGTGCTTAGATTGTCATGTTCTTCTGAGAGGGCCCTCTCCAGAACACAGAGTTCTGATGTGCCCGCAACAGAAGTGGGTCCATCAGGTATTCTCTGGAGCCAGGAGTAATGGGATACTTACAAAGCATCATTTCCAAGAGCTCTTGTATGTTCTGCATTCCTCCTTTGCTGGTAAATAAATCGCTAGAATTAGATTTTTAGAGTGCTGTTCTTTTATTCACATGTCCAGTGAACCAGGTAACCAGTATTTGTGCCAGTCCTTGTTTTGGATGTTTGAGTATTTTGGGTACTTCTAGATAATGTTACATGTGTGATTGAATTGACAGGATGTGGTAGAGCAGAACTGAAGTGGGCTGTGTGATCTTATTTCTTGCCTTTAGAAAAAGCATAAAGTTATATGGTTGCTCTAGAGACCTGTCACTGGAGCGTGAGTTCTTTCTGCCAGTCAAAATAAAGATGACAATCTCTTTTCCCTAGGTTAACCTGAAATTTGGTGTAAGACATCCAGAAGCACGAACAGGAACAGAAACTGATACCTGTACAGCTTGTGCAGGTACCTTGATCCTTGAGTTTGCAGCTTTAAGCCGATTCACAGGAACATCTATATTTGAGGTTTGCTTTCCATGATATCTTATTTTTTTTGCATTATGTAATTAGTGTTCTGTTAAATTTCTGTAATTTAAGAAACAATTTTGAGTTCATCAGATAGGTGCATGTTTTAGCTGTTCTGAACAAGATGTTTGCATGTGTTCAGATTAGTTGTTTGTGGGTTTTTTCAAAGTTTTTTTTTTTTAATAGGAAATAATTGTATTTCAAAGATGCTAAAAAATACAGAAGAAGATAAATATACTGAAGGGTAGCTAAAGGATAATGCTTGCATAGTTTCTTGAGTAGAGGGATCAGGACTAGTAAAAGGAAAAGTGAGGTGCTTGGTCCTTAAAATGCAGCTAAGAGAAAAAAATAAAATAAAAAAAATAACATAGAACCCCACACTCATGGGGTTTCTTTGATCAGATACACAAAAGAAAAAAAAAAAGGCAAGCTTTTTTCCACATGAGAATTTTTTGAAGTCTTTCCATGTGGGCCTGTTATTTTATCTCGTGTCATGGAACCCAGTGGGAGCATAGCTGGGCCTGTGTTGTCTGTTTGGGTTAAAACTTCCCCCCTGAAGTGTTTGGTAATTTAAAGCCATTTTTGTTGGATAGGTTGTTACCTTCAAGTTAATTTTGTGTGTGTGAAGAGTGTACATAACTTGTATGGACAGGGATTGTTGCTCCACCTTGAGATGTCTGAAAAGACACAGCCATTTTTATTCTAAGGCTGTTATATTTCTTGAACTATTTTAATTAGTTACACTATTCTGTCTGTATGCGTAATTTTACAGAAGGAAACCCATGCAGAAAGACGTTTAACTTTCCTAAGACCATACAGTGTCTTGGCAGATAGTTGTGTAATCAAGAACAGGTTTTTGTAGTCAGCAAAAGTGTGTACTAATATATAATAATATATAAAATGTGGACTGAACATTGTCCTATTTAATGTACGTAATACTGAGTATTGTAGTTGGTAGATATGAAGCATCTTATTACTTCCTAGCATCTTAATTTCAGTAGACAAAGCCTTTAGTATCTGTGTGTCCCTAATTTGCACTAAGGAGTGTGTGTGTTGCTGCAGGAGTACGCACGGAAAGCACTAGACTTCATCTGGGAGAAGAGACAGCGCAGCAGCAATTTGGTGGGAGTCACCATCAACATTCACACTGGGGACTGGGTCCGCAAAGGTGAGTGGGGTCCCCACCTGGGGTCACTGACCACATGTTGTTTTGGGCAAGAAAAAAAATCTTGACAGCCCTCCCAATGTACTTCTCCAGACTATTGGAAAATATTAATGGGATAGGCAAGTGGAGTGACGTAACTTCAGTGCTGGAGAAACCTGCTGCAAGACCATTCAGTGGGACCTGGACAGGCTGGAGTGTTGGGCAGAGGGGAACTTCATGGAGTTCAAGAAGGGCAAGTGTAGGGTCCTACACCTGGGGAGGAACAACCCCATGCACCAGTACAGGTGAGGGGTTGACCTGTCATAAAGCAGCTCCATGGAGAAGGACCTGGGAGTCCTTGTGGACAGCAAGTTTGCTGTGAGCCAGCAGTGTGTCCTTGTGGCCAGGGAGGCCAACAGGATCCTATGGAGAAGAGTGTGGTTTAGCCTGGAGAAGAAAATACTGAGAGGGGATCTTCTCAATGCTTCTCAATATCTAAAGGGTGGGGGTCAAGAGGGTGGGGCCAGACTTTTCAATAGTGCCCAGCAACAGGACAAGGGGCAACAGGCACAAACTGAAATCCAGGAGGTTCCATCTGAACAGGAAGAAAAAAATGCTTTTCGTGTGCTGGAGCCCTGGGACAGGCTGCCCAGAGAGGTTGTGGAGTCTCCTCCTCTGGAGAGATTCCAAACATGCCTGGATGCGATCCTGGGCAACCTGCTCTGGGTGACCCTGCTGGAGCACGAGGGTTGGATGATTGGTCCCTTCCAACCCCCACCATTCTGTGTTTGTGTGAACCTGGGCTTCGCTCTGAAAATGTATTTTGGTAGCAAAACTAGTTTTATTAATTACAATGAAAGTATTCTCTGGTTCACTTTAATGCTGAGAGGAATGGCTTGGATACATTTTCATAATATTCTACTATAAATACGTATAAATATGTAGAAAAAAACCCACAAAACAGGAGTGTGGTTGTTTATGGCAGCCAGTAGAAATATTTTCACATGAGAAAAACGAAGCAACTGGCTTCAATGCATGTCTGTTCCTATTGCTGTATGCACTGATACTGTTTCTTTGCACTAAAGGCTTTGCAGTATTGTGTCCTTGGATCCAGCTCTGCCTTAATTCTAGTGATGCTAGAAGAGGCCTTTGCTTTTACTGGAAGAACCTTTAGAATCAAAATTAAACCAAGGGGAAATATCCATATAGTTACTTAAAGTAAACTCACCTTTTCATTTTCTGCTGTTTCTAGATAGTGGAGTTGGAGCAGGAATAGATTCATATTATGAATATTTATTAAAAGCCTATGTCTTGCTGGGAGATGACAGTTTCCTGGAAAGATTTAACACGGTAAGTTAACACCTTGCTCAGGTTTGTGCCTTCTGTAAGACAAATTTACAACTAATTGTGTTGTCAGTCAGCTGCTAGCTTGAGGAGCCTATGAAGGGCTCTTTAGCAGAATTTCTGTGATTTCTAATCTGTCAAGTACTAGCTCTTTTTAGTGTGAGTTTTTGCTAATCTTGGGTGAACTGTCACCTGAGCAGATATTTTAACCCTAGCTGATAAAAATCAGAATCTTCTGGTTGCTTTTTCCATGTTTCCAGTACAGAGAATCTGTATTTCAAGATCACCTTGGAGAGTATAATACTGCAAATGTTTCTGTAAAATAATATGAGGGCCTTTTATAATTTAATATCATGAGGAATATTAAAATTGGAATAATTCAGTAGCTAAAGGCCTGTTGCAACTCTTTGACTGCAAAGATTTCATATTCCTAACCTGCAGCCACCATTACTGTGTTTTGGGTCAATTAGGTCTGTTAAGTGTTTCCTGTTGATTTGGCTGATGTGCTCATGATTGTACCTTCTGTGCTTGAGAAAACAAGAAGGGCCATTATCTTGAGTATGAGATTGGAAGTCAGTGAGCTGACAAGTGAACTAGTGGATTTTAAACTTCTTCTGAGCCACCAAGTCCAACTGCCTTGCTGGTGCTTATACCTCCTCTCCCCCTTCTCCTCCTGAGATGCATTTCCTTCAGAATTCTGTCTTTTGGAGAAAGCCATTTCAGGTTTATTTAGTATGTGCTTAAAGATTCAGCAGAAACAAATGTGCCTTAACTGTGATAGTTGTTTATCACAAGGCTGCTAGATACACTTTTGTGTGCAGGTATTACTTGGACAATGTGATGTGTATTGCATGTGTAATGCTGGGGAGCTTTTCAATATTTACTACACTTCTTTTGAGTTTGGAAAACTAGAACCTAGTGTGCATCACCAAATGTAATAATGATTTGGAATGCAGTGCTGGTTCTTCCACTGAAATAAAATGCCAGAATCTGCTGATGTATTTTTGTGTTGTAAAATGTATCAATAATATAAACTCACAATTTTTCTGATGTTCGTCAGCACTATGATGCCATAATGAGATACATCAGCCAGCCACCTCTTCTTCTTGATGTTCATATCCATAAACCAATGCTAAATGCTAGGACCTGGATGGATTCTTTGCTAGCTTTCTTCCCTGGGTTGCAGGTAAGGTTTAAAACCCATGTGCAGGTGATTTTAGTAACAAGTAAATAGTTAGACTGGATATGTAATTGGCAAGTCGAGCTTAGCAATCTGATTTTCAGCAATGAGGATTTCTGTACTCCCCCTGTCACTTCAGAGCTATGATGCAGGCTACCCTGCGTTTCCGCCCATGTCGAGTAGCAAGAAAAGTGTGTCAGCGTGATTTGCTTCCTTCATTCCTAGTCATGAAATCACTCAAAGTAAGCTGCCTTTTTAGTAGTCTAGTGACAAAATTTTCTAGTTTGTGTGCCATTTACATCTTTTAGACAAACTAAATCACACTTGCACTGCAGTTCTCTGTAAATGATAGAGATTCTCCATAGGCAGGAGTTTTAATGAGCTCACTGATTGTTTTGCTTAAAAAGCTTTTATGGCGTATCTGTGACTTGTACTGAAAGGGTAATATTTACAGTATGTATCAGCTGGAAATGCAGGAATTGGTCTGTAACTTTACATGAACACAGTGGTTTTGCCTAACTTATAATATTATTCCTATGCATGGTGAATTAGTGTTAATTTTATTATTTAATTTTAGGTATTGAAGGGTGATATTAGACCTGCTATTGAAACTCACGAGATGCTGTATCAGGTTATAAAAAAGCATAACTTTCTTCCAGAGGTAAGGCAGTAATTTTTTGATTGTGCAAACTGATTCTTGTCTCTATTTGAGCAGTCTCAAATATCCATTTGAAAAAAATAGTGGATGCATGTGTTACTAAAACAAAAGTCTTGTTTCCACAGCATTTTTATTTTCAGTTCTGCATGTATGACAACTGTCTTTTGGATATGAAGTATTTTTCCTTCAGTTATGCTGTAGTGAACACGGTGATAGGAAGCTGCTGCTATTAACAGTTGCTTAGGCTTCATATTCCAGCCTTTCAGCATTGTCCTTGACTCACTTCATTATGCAAAACTTGTATAAGGACATGTAGTATTATATTGGCAAGCAGCTGCTAGCATTAATACTAAAGAATTCAGTCACCTTTATTAACTCAAGGAGGGAAACTGAAGACTGAATTGTTCCAAGAGAATACTCTGAAATTTTGCATAATGTCCTTGAAAGTAGGCACACAGAGCCATCTGTAGATACTGCAAGTGGAGTCTTTGAGGGTGTTAGTTCTGCACAGAAAAACTGGTTTACGTGCTGAAGTGTGTCTTTATTCTGAGATGACCCAGAATATATGAGAAAGCTTCTGACTCTAGTTTTAATTTTGACCTTCCTCTGGTGTAAGCTTATTTCTGATACGTTGCATTTTTCTAATGTGGATACTGAGATCAAAGAATGCTCTCTAAGCAATGGAGCAATTATTTTGGAGTCCTTTTAAAATGGTATGATTTGGCTCCTTATGGCTTTGTGGGTGGTCTTTTTGAGACTGTGTACTTATGAAGGAAACTTTGAAACATCAGTTAGTTGCATTTAAACTACTATGCCATCCTCCTTAGCAAACACTTAATTTAAACCCTGGTATTAATTAGTAGTGTATATAAACCATCACAGAAGTGGCTTTTGCCAGTACATGTTAACAGTGAATACACAGACTAGGAAATTTTTAGATAACTGACTTCTAGTCTGTGGTAATTCTTCAGTTAAAACGAGCTGCTTACCATCTGTCTGTCTGCAAGGACAGTGTAATGTACTGGAAGTGGCAGGTGGTAGGTGAGTTTTCAGAAAATCAATGTTTGCCAAAGCTGGGGTGGTCTCTGTGTGGCAGCCCTTCCAGAGGCTGCCCTGGCTGGGTTGCAGCAGCAGCTGGGTGCTTGTGCTGATGGGAGCAGTTGGAGGCTACGTGCCACCTCCTGCATCTGGAGCACAAGTTATCATCTGGCATCTCTTGCCAGAACTCTGCTTGCTGGAACTTGTCAAGACTCTGGGCGGTGTCTGGAGCTCTGCACTAACAGGAGCTTAAATCCCACTCCTGCTAAGTGGGCTAGAGCACTGGTTTAGGTTTTGGCCTCAAATGTACTAACTGGACAGAGGTTTCTGTAGCCTCTTGAGACTGATGTTCAGTCCTCCACTGTTGTGTACTTTAGCTGTTGTAATACAGTTAAAATTAGGTTCAAAATAAACCTGTTTGGTTTTCATTCTTGCATTTATTTTTGTCTGTTCTTTTTCTTTCTCAGGCATTCACAACAGACTTTAGAGTTCACTGGGCTCAGCATCCTTTAAGGCCTGAATTTGCTGAAAGCACTTATTTCTTGTATAAGGTAAGATCACTTTAATTCCTTTGACTTTTGGCCACTTTATCTAGCACCTGAAATTTTGTTTTATTTCAATACAGAATGAGTAGCCTATCTCCAGCTTGTTTTACCTACTGGAGCTAATTCTGTACACAAAAAAGATTAGCATTGGTTATCAAAAATTGCTCTATGAATTTTGTTTTATATGCCTAGAATTAGAACGAAAACTCTTAAGTGGCAAAGGCCTGTATTTTTAAAGATACTTGGGTATCTTAAAGATACTCTTAGAGACAGAGCAAAAGCTGTTTGTACCTTGCAGAGAAGAGCAGTGTCAGTGTCTTGCCTTTCTTTAAGTATTTCCATCTGCTTACCTGTGTATCTACAAAAGGTGATGCAATAGTATCTTACGAGTTTCTCTTCTCACCATTTAGCACTAAGAATAATTTAAGCTTTACTGCTGCCTGAGAAGGTATGGAATCAATAAATTAGCCTTAGGAAAGCGAAAGCTGCTAGATGTTCAGTAAGACTAAGTGCACCTCTATGTTTGGGTTTTGGTTTTTTTTTCTTTTATAGGCTACTGGGGACCCTTACTATCTAGAAGTAGGAAAAACACTTATTGAAAACTTGAACAAGTATGCAAGAGTACCCTGTGGGTTTGCTGCCATGAAGGATGTTCGTACAGGGAGTCATGAAGATAGGTAAAAACTTATGCAATTATTTTTTTTTCCATAAAAAGATTATAGGAAAAAATATCATTACCCTGTTTATTTAATTGAATTAATTGACTTTTGAGTAGCTGTCTGTCTTCAGTTTTATAGCCAAGTCTTAAATTACCCATTTGTCATAGTTTATAAAGTATTTCAATAGATTTATAATTCATTACATAAGAATAGTTTTAGTTTAATAATGTTTCATTTGTCTCAGAGCACTAGATGAATTACTTTCAAATAAAATATGCTTCAAATTCAGAAGTTTGTAAAGAGGTTTATTTGGCTTTTCTATAATGCTGTTTGCTACTGAAGATGGTGAATCATTTCCCTCCAAACATAGTTTCTTCCAAGTGGAAGGAATGCTGAAGGAATTAAGTTCAACAATAGTAGTCATGAAGTCTTCAAAGACAGAACAATACTGATGTTTTAAAGAAAAAGAGAACTTCCTAAAGGACAACCACTTTTTTCCATAGAATGGACTCTTTCTTTCTGGCTGAGATGTTTAAATATCTTTACCTGCTGTTTGCTGATAAGGAAGACATGATTTTCGACATCGAAGATTATATCTTCACTACAGAAGCTCATCTGTTACCACTTTGGCTTTCCACTACAAACCAAACCATCTCTAAAAAGAATACGGTATGTAACGGCTCAAATCAGAGTTCTAGTGGTGCATTGAGCCCATTCCTTTTTTTTATGAGAGGAAATGGAAGAAAAACCAGGAAAGACCATAGTCTGAAGAAGTCCACCCATTTTAACGCTTCACTGACTGTGAACTATTTCATCGTGTTCGTAGTGCCAGTCACAGGAGTGTACGTGTTGCCATGGCTAGATTCTGCACCACTGAGTCTTGAGAAAAAAGCTGTGGAATATTAGCAATATTTTAAAACAAAATCATTCATCATCTCTGTATAAATTTGAAAAGAACAAGCTGTGATACTTTATTTTCACCTTTAATTTCTATTATTTCTCTAAAAACATTTGCAACATGCTTAAGTTTTTGTTGTTTATTTTATGATGTGAATCCTTGGCAAATTTTGAAAGGGTTTTGGAGACCACTAGAAAGTTAAACAAGGCACAGCTGTAGCTTTGGGGATCTTTAATTGGTTTAGTCCATCCACTAGGTCTCTCTTGTGTAAATATGAGAACATTTATAGGTTTATAAGGTACTTAACCTTCCATAGCAATACAACTATGCCATGAAACATCCTAAATAATCTTTTTTTTTTGTGCTCAATAAGGGGACATAATTTATTTTTAAGGTAGTAATACTACTGGCAAGCAAAAGAAACAAAGGAGTGAGGAGAGAGGTGTCCAGGGTGTCAGGGATGTAAATTCATTTATGTTATTGTGCCCCTATTTTTAACCTTTACTATGAGTTTTCCCGTGACGCCTGGATCAGAGGAAAATGCTCCTGTTGTGTGCCATGCCACGTGTCCTGGGGAAATCCTGTAATTGAGTAGAAGCCACTTGGTTTTATGGACTCTAGCATTAGACAGTGACAAATTTTTAATTGCTTGCTTTTAATGTCTAACATGGTAATATATTTAATGAGTCATGGGGTTGGATTTTCATGTTCCTTCATGGTGGAGATCCTGCACCCTCTCTGAAATACTCTTTCCTTGAGCATTTATCATGTTTTTGTCTCTGAGTTTTGGAAACGGAGACTGGTTTTTAAACTGTGCAAGAAATCCTCTGGAGGGTCTGAAGGAGCATTTTTATATAGCTTTAATTCCCAACATGAGAAATTGATCTGTTTGAGACAGAAAGGATTCCCACAGATGATGCTGTGTGAAGTTCTGGCCTAACGTGTAGTTATCTAGATAACAATTTATTCTCTTAATTGGTCTTTTATTACCATTTGTGGGTAAAATCCTTTTCTTAAGGTCTAAGTCCAGGCTGCCAACATGCATACTATGAGTAAGAAAGCTCCATTGAAAATGGTGTCAGTGGCTTGAGAAGTACTGTTTGCACAGTACAGGATTAGCTATTTCTGGGGGAAAAAAAAAAAAAAAGCCACAAAAAAACCCCAAACAAAAACCAGAAATTGTGAATACAAATTAGGTAAGTTACAAAGCAGAACTGGTGGTGTATTTATCTATCTCTAGAAGGCATTGTGGGCACTGGTTACCCTCTGTTGTTCCAGGGTGTGGCACAGAAGGGATGTATTCTTCATTCCTGGAATCTGTGTGGTTCTAGGACATTTATTGCATTTACAACAGCTGATCTGTATCTTTCATTGTAGACTACAGAATACACAGAGCTGGATGACAGCAACTTTGACTGGACCTGTCCCAACACCCAGATCCTTTTCCCAAATGACCCTATGTTTGCTCAAAGTATTCGTGAACCTTTGAAAAACGTGGTGGATAAGAGCTGTCCTAGGGGTATTTCCAGAGCGTAAGATGAATATTTTCTGTCTCTTGTTAGAGTAGGAGTGAGTGGAATAGTGTCTGTTATGCATGGAAAAGAGAAATGTAAGCTTACTCTGCTTGAGCTTGTAGTCCTTCTAGAAGAGATAGCCTAGCTATGGGGGAATCAGTTATGTTTTCATCAGCAAGATTTAGTTCCTTTCCAGCAGGAATAGAAAATCTTTCAAAGCCAGAGGACCTTAATGAGCCATATACTCCAAGTGGGGATTGTAGCCCAGGTATTACAGGAACCCTGTTCTCTGGTGTGTAGAATTAATGTCTGTAGTCTCTTGAACAGTTCTGCAACTCTGTAGTAAGCAAATTGTGCTGCCCTACGTAACTTCACCCGATTCAAAGAACTGAAGACACTGTTAAAGCTGATGAAGTTTATCCTTCCAACCACTTCTTTGATATTTATACTTCCTTGACTAAAACTGAGTAGCAACTCTGAGGAAGACTGGTTTTAGCCAATCTTACAATGATGCAGACTATTGAGAAATGAGAGATAGCACAGGGTAGTTTTGTTACAAACATTGCGTGTGCTTTTTTGTGCTACAAAGTTAACAATAATAGCAACAACTTCTAGAAAAGATAACTTGACTGAGAAGTTGCATTTAGTGAAGATTATACACAACATAATTCCAGAGAATTGTAATCTTGTGGTGGTAGCAATAATGTGAGAGTTATGTTTCAAGAATAACTAGCTTTTTTAAAGCCTACATCTCCAATATCTTTTGGCAGAGAAGAGAATTTGGGAAGTGGCCCAAAACCGCCATTGAGAGCCAGAGATTTCATGGCCAGTAATCCTGAACACTTGGAGATCCTGAAGAAGATGGGAGTCAGTTTGATTCACCTGAAAGATGGACGAGTACAATTAGTACAGCATGCAGTGCAAGTAAGACCTGACAGTACCTGGCTTTTTTGTAAAAGTTTCATTAAATTCCTGCTAGTGATATTTGACACTTAGAGGTTCAGGAGGGACACCCAGACTGTGGAAGGAGGTACATGAGCTGGGCGTGCAACTGTCTTTAGCAGGCTGATGCTTGTTAATATTTTGCCTCATCAAAACTTTTACCTGATCTTCCATTAATTTAGATGAAGACTGTTGTGAACTACATCACTTTGACATAATGTTATTATTTCAGTGTGAGATAATTCCATTTGTTTGAGGTCTGTCTGTATGATTCTAGCCTTCTGGGCGGTGGAGGTGCTAAAAGGTTAACATCCTTATTTGAAAAAACAAAGAAGTGCAAGTGAGAATCTTCTTTGTTTTTAAAAATCTTTGTGGCAGTGGTCCAAGCAAACATAACTTCAATTGAATTTTTTTTTCAAAGTTTCTCAAACGTTTAAGAAGAAACCATTTGTTGTTTCCTTATGACTCAGGCAGCAAGTTCCCTCGATGCTGAAGATGGGTTACGATTCATGCAGGAGATGATTGAACTCTCCAGCCAGCAGCAGAAAGAGCAACAGCTACCTCCTCGTGCCGTCCAAATCGTTTCCCATCCGTTCTTTGGCAGGGTGGTCTTGACTGCTGGACCAGCACAATTTGGGATGGACTTATCCAAACACAAAGCAGGGGTATGTAAGATGTGTATGGGATTTGTTCCTAGCTTTCTGTTACTTCTGTCATTGCATAAGCCCAAATTTTACAGTACTGTTACTATTTCAGGGTGGCCAGCTGGAGGGTGATCAATTAATTATAGTGGTTAAAATGACAGGGCACAGCAATAACAGAATAACAGTGGTTGACAGGCTTTTAGATGAGCTGCTTAACAGTCTGTGGCCCATGCTCTGCTCCTGAATCATCAGTTGTGATTTGGGATTTCAGATCCGTACATAAGATGGTTTTTTAAACAAATTTGTATAATCTGCAGTGCATCTTTTCAGAAATTTTAATTTAAGGGAAGGTTTTCCTGCCGTGTCAGCCGTGAATTTGCAAAAGCCTTTTTAAAGTTAGAGTAGGCTGTTCTTATGCAAATTTTTATAAAAGGGTGTATCTGGATGAAAGAAGAAACTATCACAGAGGAAATAGGAGAATCTTACCAACCTTCAGCTGGGCAATATGCAGCCCCAAAGAGCAGTTCCAGACTAGCAATTCACAGAAGAAAATTTTCCAGAGACAGCCGTTCACAGGTACAGAGGAGATACACTGACTATGAGAGTTAGGTTTTCACTTGCTCATTTGTTGCTTCTTAGAACACCAGCTTCAGGGTGAAGATTGCCTGCGTTGACAGAAGGCAACACTAAATGCATTAGATTAACTGAAGAAACAAAAATGCTTAATCTTTTGCAAGCTTGAACCTAGTGCTCTAATTCTTTCTTTATTTTGGTTTCTGTCTTTCCAAACAGACAAGAGGATTTGTTGCAACCATTAAGCCATATAATGGATGCTCAGAGATCACTAATCCTGAGGCAGTGAAAGATAAAATTGCTCTGATGCAGAGAGGCCAGTGTATGTTTGCTGAAAAGGCACGAAATATTCAAAAAGCTGGAGCAATAGGAGGCATTGTTATTGGTAAATAAAATCTTAAGTTTGTGTAGATGTAACATGCATTTTACTGATTTCAAGCTACTGGGGAGGTGACAAGGAGTTGCTAAACTCTTTGAGATGATGGTATTCCAACACAGAAATTGAGCTTTTTGGAGATGAAGAAATAGTTTGGGTTTGTCTAGATCTGCACAGAAGGTGTAGCTAAACAAATCACAGGGGGGGTAATTGTCACTGGTTTTGCAGATTAGAAATTGTTATTTTAAGGATCACTGGGAGTTCCAGTGGTGCTATCTACTAACTGCTGAGGAAAAGCTGAGATACGAATGAGAAATGTTAAGGGAAAGAAGTACCCAGGCTGGCTTTTCCTTTGTACAGCCAGCTTACCATTTTGTGCCCGGGATCCTCGTAGCTGACTGGGCAGTAGGAGGCCAGTGGAGTTGAGAGCTGTAGTGTGTGTGTCTCAGCTTACGCCTCTTCTCTGTGCCCTGGCCAGATGACAACGAGGGAAGCAGCAGTGACACAGCCCCTCTCTTCCAAATGGCTGGTGATGGGAAGAATACAGATGATATCACAATTCCCATGCTCTTCCTCTTCAACAAGGAGGGAAACATTATACTGGATGCAATCCGGGAGTATGAGGCTGTGGAAGTGCTCCTCTCTGATAAAGCAAAAGACAGAGGTAAGGTCAGAGGTGGGCTGTACACATTCAGCTTCCCCCTGTGCCGTGGCACAGCGAGATGTGTCCAGCAGCAGCTTCTGCTGTTGCCCAAAGGTGCAGACACGTTATTTGGTAGCTCTGGTTTTCTGTTTGACATTAGGTACCAGTTTCTTCATAGGAAAGTCATTATCTGAGGTGTGTCATTATCTGCTCCCCTGCCCTTAAGTTAACATCCAGAAATGCTGTTCCTAAGTTAAATGTCAGTTTGACTAATGAGAAAATACAGCCTTTTGGGTTCCTTTTGAACCCTTTTTGTCATAATCTGCTTTGAAGTGGTGTCAGGAAGAGTGTGAGTGTTTTCGGTGCCCTACATTGTAAATGCCTCTCTCTTATCAAGCTCCCCTGTGACATCCTTGGTACCCAAAAGGAAAGAAACAGCTGTTACAATTATTTTGCCTATCTAAGGAGAAGCAAGAAATAAGGCTGCTGACCTCAGAGGTTTTGCTGTTTTTCTTGTATGACAGGAAAATTGCAAGCTAATATATTCACAATTAAAATGGCTGTCTATGGCAGAAAATTCTAGGTTTTCCTTTTGTGAGCCTTCCTTGTCACACTGCTTTGTCCAAGCAGAGTCTGTAAAACAAGTGTCTCTGGTAAACTAGTGACCACATTTGTTTTCTGCACACTTGCAAAGGTGATATGCTGAGAGCTGCAGTGTTGTTTCTTCATAGCTGCTTACAGATTCCTCCCACTTCTAACAGTGGTTAAGCTGCTCTAAAATACTGAATACAAAAGATAGCTCTGCCTGTGAGAATTTGTAACCCCTATCTGCTTCTTCCACTCTCCTCATGCTTCCATTTGGAATCCCAGCAACAATCTTTAAAGGTAAAATGATTCCAAACTACATTATTGATAGCAGTAAGTATTCCATGTTAAAAATGGTGTATGCAGTTAAACTCCCTAGGAGTCTTGAAACATTAGTGTCTTGTATGTTAGGTATAAACATCAAATTCCAGAGAAATCTGGATGGATGAACGGGACAGCTGCTGTAAAGCTAAGCTGGTACTTGAGATACGTTTGTCAGTCACTTTGAGCGTGAATGCGATGAGGGAGGCTTTGGCTCTTTCTTAAATTCACAGTTCAGGAAACTTATAAAGCTCTGCCCAACTCCCACTTGTTTAGATGTGGGGTCCTGGTGCATCTGGGAGTGCTTTAAAATCCAGCACTAGAGTTCAGTGCATGCAGTGGGTATTTGCTGAACACTGAAGGTTGGTAACTATCATAGAATGTTCTGGGTTGGAAATGACCTTTCAAGGTCATCTAGTCCAACCCCCCTGCAGTGAGCAGGGACATCTGCAACTACAGCAGGTTGCTCAAAGCCCCAGCCAACCTCACCTGGAATGTTTCCAGGGATGGGGCATCTACCACCTCTCTGGGCAGCCTGGGACAGGGTCTCACCACCCTCAGTGTGGGAAAAAAAATAAATAAAAATTTCTTCTATATAATCTCAATCTCCCATCTTTGAGTTTAAAACCATCACCCCTTGCCCTGTCACAATAGGCCCTGCCAAAAATATTGTCCCCATCTGTCTGATAGGCCCCTTTACTGAAAGGCATCAGTAAGGTCTCTCCAGAGCCTCCTCTAGGCTGAACAACCCCAACTCTCAGCTTTTCATCATAGAAGTGACTATTGAAGTTGGACAAACCAGAACTACTCTCACAATGCAGTTTGCTTTCTTTTAAAATGTGTTTAAATGTCTTCCCTTCCCTCACTTTGTAAAACAAGTTCCTTAATAACATTAAATTTTCATACCAATGGCAAGTCTGCACTTCCTTGAGGAAATAAGGCCAAGGGAAGTGACCTTGCTTTAGAAATACATAATAATGTGCTGCCTTTCTAAGCTTTTTTCAAAGCCTTTTTTTTTTTTTTCCCCCCCTTCTCAAAGACTTGGAGATGGAGAATATGGACCAGAAAGTATCTGAAAATGATTCACAGAAACAGAATTCAGAAGAAGCCACTTCAGCAGCTCAGGATGTTGGTGCAGTCAGTGAGGAGCCTGAAGAAGAAGAAAGCTCTGATGTTACCAGCCCTGACTCTTTATCCCCAGCTCAGGCAGCCAGTGACAGCGTTTCCCTTTCACATCAGGATTCCCACATCCCTGGAACCGAGGAGGCCAGTGCTGCAGAGCCAGCATCTGTGCAGGGGGACAGCCAGCCTCAGGAACAACAGACTGAGACAGAGCCAAATTCCAAAGCTAACTGGGATAATAAAGTCCAGCCTATGGAATCCATATTAGCAGACTGGAATGAGGATATAGAAGCATTTGAAATGATGGAAAAGGATGAGCTATGACTCAGAATAATAATAATAACTTATTTGTTAGCAAACAAATGGAGAACTCTTTGGGTAGAAGCGAGGCCCTGATATCTGACAAAACTAGAAAACATATTCAGTATTGTGATGAGCAACCGGGTTTCACCTGGCAGAATACCACAGAAATCCAGCACACACTCTTGGTGTCGTTTTAATTTTTTTCCTGTTTAAAAATGGGAACGTGCAATGGAAGCATTTGCCTGGCTCCACTGGGTGGTGCTGCAGCCCAGGAGGCTCACCCGGGGCGTGGGCCCAGCCTCTGCCTCCCAGGCACCCGAGGGCGCGCACCCCGGGTCTCTGGAAGGCAGAAGTTGAACGCCCCGTGGAACGGTTACTGGGGAGAGCACTTGGAGGCAGCAGGGCAGCCCCGGCCGTGGCTGGAGCAAGGGTGTGGTCTCACTGGTCTCTGAAGGCAGCAGCTTACTGATGGCAGCAGCTGAAGTGATGTTTTGAGCTGTGGCGTCTTTCAGACGCGTCTGGAAGCAGTTTGGTTTTGTCCTGACATATCGTAGTGAGACGTAGTGTTGCTCGTCATTCCTTCCATCTCTTACCATGAAGAATGGCTGTGAGGACATGCCAGTTTTCCCTTCTGCTCCACCTCCACCTAGAGAAACTGTATAAACCAAAGGCAACGTGTCCTTTGTAAGCAGGTTCTATCAGGGAAGCCAAGACAGCCTTGGGGTCTACCAGTTAAAGGTTCACGGTGTGTTGTGGAAGTCACACCCAAGGTGAAGGTGAAGTGGCCGAGGCAGATGTTGAGTTACAGGCATTTCTTTTGGCCTTCCAGCTTGAAAAACTCAAATCTCCCCCGAGATGCAGAACTTAAACTGGCAATATTCTCTGAAAGGACGCTACACAGGACTAGATCAGCTATAACAAAAATCTTCCTTTTTTTTTTTCTACAAGTTTAACTTCTAACAGCTTGACTTTGTTGTCATTGTTTTTATACACAACACGGACGCGTGCGGTAGGGGGGGCGGCGAGGCCGGTGCCGGTGCCGGCAGTGGAGCGCGGGGCTGTTGGCTCTCTGTGAGGAGGGCTGGTGTGTCACTGGGCTGTGGGAGTTTGTTACAGGTAAGTGTGTCCGAATTTGTGATCCCCCTTAGGAAACCCATTGTCTAAATAAAAATGGGGATGTTTAAGCAACTGGGAGACGTTTGGACTGTGTCCGAAGAAACTGCCAAAAATTAAGTAACTTGATTTGTATAAACTGCTTTTAGTGAATTTGTGGTTGGAAGGTTTATTTTGTATTAAAGAGTAAATTAACACTGCCTATATGCTGCACCAGGCTAAACATGAAGGGTTATATTCATCTTTGCAATGGAAAGAAGTAAAAAACCACCCAATTCCGAGGCGCACTTTTCATTTAGCTGGTGAAATTACACGTGCTGAATATGCAACTGTTAATTAGTACAGCCATACTGTATGTATTTCTGTGTACTCCTGTACAGTACGAACGGAGAAATCCCAGGCCAATGTCGTGCACATGTCCACTTAGTGACACTTGCTCTCCAGAGTGTGGAATGCAGAGGCACCTTGTGAGAGCGTGGCCATCAGAACGTCCCTCCTGAGCGGCTCTGTCTCCAGAGGGGCTGCAGCGGTAGCGCAGTGCTGAGTCAGTGGCCTTTAAACAAATGAGCTTTGAAACGCAGTTGTACATTTGCACAGATAACCATAGGGAGGTCTGGACTGGATGAGCGCTTGCAGCAGCTGGGGGGG